AATAAATAAATAAATAAATAAATAAATAAATTAGTATTCAACGCATTTTGTAGTAGAAAAAAAAACATTTAAGTTACACTTAAGTATATTAAATTAATTTTAACAATGAAAGCAAGAATATAAATCTCAGAGGCTAGGGACAAAATCAACATTAGTTGTTTCTTCTGTAGCTACATTTTAATTTTGTGTCAGCACTTGGTGTAAGTTTTTGGCAGAAGAAAATACTTTGTAAAGTTCTTTGTCTTATCTTTTCATACCCTTCTTACCAGGTTCCTTTCTTATCTGGCTTGATTAACTGCCGTTTCAAGAAAGCAACCAGATAAATGTATATATTCAAACCTTATTTTTCTTAATGTAAACATTTGAAATATATCTCCATGCTTGGTTGAACCAAGCATTATGACAGGTAAAGATCTGAGTTCTGTTACACGTATTTGTTAGGAAGGGCAGATCCAGTTACCTAGTGTTAGTATAGTGCCAAATTTGCATTATTGATCATCATAGTGAGGTCATTACAGCCATAATATTCTTTAAAAAAACAAGTAACTAGACTTAGATAAATCTTTTATTTCCTTTAGCGTGGCTTCTCATGTTTGGAATAGACTATTATCAAATCAAATGTTACTGTTTATCAGAGTGCATTACACTTGGAGCAGGGTACAAATAGTCCTTGACTTATTACTGTAATGGAACTCAGAATTTCCTTCATAAATAATGATGGTCGTAAGTCAAGGTACCCACATGATTGGAGCTAATTTTATGACTTGTTTTACAGCAGCGATTAAGCAAGCACTATGGTCATTAAGTGAACACTATGCGAATGTATTTGTGTGAGTGTTTTTTGCAAAAAAAAAATTACCTGAAAAAAAAAGGGGGGGATACAAAAATATCATGAATCATGATATTTACAATTTATAAATATAAATATATTTATATTATAAATTATATAATTTATAATATAAATTATATATTATATGATATGTAATTTATATTATATGGCTGATTGTTCTGATCCCCCTCGTCCCACACCAACACACTCCGAGTCAAAGATACTTTACGGAATTTATTAACAGACAGACAGGTCCTTGGCAGCAATCCAACACAGATAAGCCTCGGCAGCAATCCAGCCTGCCAATCTAGTTACAAAAGTTCTCCAACTTTTAGTCAATGTGTTGACTTCTGCAAGAGGGGCATGTGCACAAGCCGTCCTCTTATAGTCTGGAGAGGAGCCTAATGCCCACCAGCTGAGTACAATTACCTCCTGTAACTGCACAAGTGTTCCTGACGCCTATTAGCTCTTCGGTGCCGGGCGTCCAGAAACAACTCACTGCTGGCGTCCGGCTCATTCTCCCTTGTCTCCTTC